CCAGCTGCTCCCTTCCCCACCCCTCCCTCTTCAATGCTTTCTTCTTCTCCTCCTTGTTTCACGCTGTCTATTTTATTTATCATTCAAAAATCATCATTTTATGTTTAGCCTTTTACCGTTTTTTCATTTTGCGAGTGCGACAGAGCCGCTCCCGTTAGCAGCAGCTTGCTCACCCGAACCTCACTCGACCCTCCTTTCTCCTTTGCTTCCCACCTCCACCACAGACAAAGTCAATCAAAGTCATCCCCCCGTTGTTGCCCTAAGCCTATCTACTATGACCACCATTTCGGAAATGATGTTGATACAAATTATATTATTCAAAAAGTAATGTACATAACTCAACTTGAATAAAGTCATTTTGAATCGACTTGCATCACCTGTCTCACGTTCACGTTGATTCGGTAGATTTTCGACTTGTCGCCCGTTTTTTGTACCTTTCGTTTGGCAATTTTTCCACATTCGTCTTCGACAACAATTCTCGGCACTGCGTGTAGGGCTAGCCGACTATCGCCTGTCATGATCAGCACATCAGAGTCTCGCAGCAGCAGTGGTACAATGGGAGTAGATGCTTCTTTTGACTGACCCCCGATAAGGAAGATTGCAGGTGATCCAAGGCTGAAGCTGAGCAGTGGAATAGTGTGATCAAGTTCAGAGTCATCAGTATGAAAGCAGAGAGTAGATTTTCGATTGTAGTAGTTGACTATTCCCGCCTGAGGACAAAAGTTGGGCAAGTTCAAGTAAGTACTGATGACTTTGCTGAGATCTTGAATGCGCTCAGGAATTACCACTGACGGCTGATCCAGCGTGTACAATTTACTGTCCCAGTTGTGGTGATAGCCAAAAGTGATCCACCGAAGTTTCTCTAAAGTGTCCGCTTCTTTTAAAGCTGTGTTTGCTTTAAAATCGTAGCCATCTCTCATTGGAAGATCATCGTGAAAATGCCCAAACCAGTCCATGCGGTATTGGTCTCGAAGAATTCCTGGAATAATTATCAGCCCAGGAACGGCATTCTTCAGCGTGAACATTTTCCATTCATCGTACGGTTTAAAGTGCTCTTTTGTAGAGCATTCTGGTATTGTATCGCTTGCTGGTTTAGCATCTAGCAGAATCAACTCAGGGTGAGCAGAGTCGGCGGCAGCGTCAATTGCCGCATCAACAGAATTGCCGTTTAACTTAAACTGTTTAAAGGTGCTTTTATAGATGTCATTCTCTTGGATTTCTTCATTACCGGAACTAGGCTGATAAGCCATAAAAAATATGGATCTCGCTTTAAAAACAATTTTTAAAAACTTTCGGAAAAAAATAAACTTGCGGTCATTTCAACACANTGTACGGTTTAAAGTGCTCTTTTGTAGAGCATTCTGGTATTGTATCGCTTGCTGGTTTAGCCTTTAGCAGAATCAACTCAGGGTGAGCAGAGTCGGCGGCAGCGTCAATTGCCGTATCAACAGAATCGCCGTTTAACTTGAACTGTTTAAAGGTGCTTTTATAGATGTCATTCTCTTGACTTTCTTTATTACAGGAACTAGACTTATAAGCCATAAGAAATATGGNAAACAGTTCGAGAGTGGAGCAGCCGCGATGAAAATAGCCATTGCCGCATTTTTTGTCAAAATTTTTTTGAAACAAACAAAAGAATCTGGTTTTTATTGATTTTAAATCTCATCTGTCAACAACAATGAGTGGTGGAATCTACGCTGGTGGTATGTTCTTGAACAAAATGTTTCACAAAATAATATAAGCTAACCACCTGTCTTTAGACGAACTTGGAGCACTGGTCTTTGACGTGGGCCATCATTCCTTTCGAGCCGGTTGGGCTGGGGAAGACAGTCCAAAAACAGATGTTCCGACGACAATCGGGTACATCGACGATGTCGTTGACGCCAACTCGCGAATGGACGTCGATTTTGCGGCAGATCATAATGGCAATTCCAATTTGGCGCCCTCTTCGCGTCGATACATCTTTGATACGACTGCCATTAAAAGCCCGCAAAACAATATGGACCTCACGACCTTTTTAAGAGACGGAATGAGTACGTTTTATAAATTGTTAAAAACGTTTTATTAATTGAATGAATTTAGTTGAAGATTGGGATCTGTTTGAGAAGATGACCGATTATATTTACAAGAAGCAACTCAACTTGGACTCGACACTTCAGCCTGTCCTCTTTTCGGAGGCATCTGTAAGTGTGTACCTCATGTTTTGAATATTATTTTTCTAATTTAAATTTATTCTAGTGGAACGCACGAAGCAAGCGAGAAAAACTTTGCGAGCTCATGTTTGAAAAGTATGGCATTCCAGCCTTTTTTCTTTGCAAGAACGCCGTTTTGGCGGCTTTTGCAAATGGACGTGCCACTGGTGTCATTCTGGATTCAGGTGCTTCGCACACTTCGGCCATCCCTGTTCATGATGGATACGTAATGCAGCAGGCAATTGTAAAAAGTCCTCTTGCTGGAGACTTTGTGACCAATCAATGCAAACAGTATTTCGATGAGCGAGGCGTGGAGATTGTTCCCTACTACATGATCGCCTCTAAAGAGGCGGTAAAAGAGAGTGACCCTGCAAAGTGGACAAAACGCAGCAATTTACCTGAAAACCTGACCCAGTCTTGGAAGAATTACATGATCAAAGAAACGCTTTTTGACTTTAAATCATCCGCTTTACAAGTAAGCGACACCACATACAACAAAGATGTGGCGGACAACATGCCAGCAATACACTATGAATTCCCCAACGGTTACAACCTTGATCTGACATCAGACCGTTTCTTGATTCCTGAAGCTCTCTTTGACACTACAAACATTAAGGGCTTTACCTCTTCAGTAATGGGCATGTCTCAGATTGTCACTACCTGCGTCGGTTTTTGTGACCCTGAAATTCGATCATCTCTGGTCGGAAACGTCATCGTCACCGGCGGTAATACGCTGATTAACGGATTCACTGAGAGGTTAAATCGCGACCTTGTCACTAAAACTCCACCGGTAAGTGAACATGATGCTTTCAAATGTGCAAATTTTTAACATTTTCGACATTCTTAGAGTATGCGTCCGAAGCTTATAAATCCAAATGCATCCGTTGAACGCCGTTACGGAGCGTGGATTGGCGGCTCTATTCTTGCCTCCCTGCCCACTTTTCAGCACACCTGGATCTCTAAGCAGGAATACGAAGAGGATGGTAAATGCCAAATTGAGAGAAAGTGCCCATAAGGAAAGTTCAACGAGTCTCAAACACCCATCATATTTACTGCATACATTCAGTAGCATTATCTACTCATTATTTTATCTCATCATGAACTGTAACTCCACCATAATGACAACACCCTAATCGTATACAATGATTAAAATTTGTTGGTAACTTTAATGGAATACCTTCAATAAACATTTTCAAATCTCCTTCGTGTGCCTTATTCTGTCGTGTAAAGGGGCGCCACAAAAGAGGCCACCACTGCGTCGCTGCAGTCGTCGTCTGCTGAGGCGATGAAAACAAAACACTGATGTACCTGATACACTTTTTGGTGAAGCAAGTGCCTCGAAGACATACTTTTTCTTTTCAGTTTTGCAGCTACCAATCATGATTCCCAATACTGGGTAAGTTGATAAATATTGTTTAGCTATTGTTTTAACATGACTTTTCTTGAACTACAGAGCATTTTCTCGGTCGACAATCTTCATAACAGGCAGCAGCCGTGGTATCGGAAAAAATATTGCCCTGAAACTAGCCAAGGACGGAGCAAATGTGGCGATTGCTGCCAAAACAGTGGAGAAACATCCCAAATTAGAAGGTACCATTTTTACTGCAGCAAAGGAAAGTAAGTTGATAAGTTGAATGCACTGTCAACAAACTTGAAAACGTTCTTTTGAATTTAGTCGAAGCCGCAGGCGGAAAGTGTTTGCCAATCCAGTGTGATCTTCGAGATGAAGAGGCCGTCAAGGTGGCAATTGATAAAACACTTCAGAAGTTTGGGCAACTAGATGTACTTGTTAATAATGCCAGCGCCATTAGCTTGACAGGTATGTTTGCTTTAGGAAATTGTTGTTTACATGTTTGTTTACTGTTTACTGTTCAGGCACTGAGGAAACAACAATGAAAAAATATGACCTCATGCACCAGATCAACACTCGTGGGACATTTATGGCCAGCAAATATGCTCTGCCTCACCTCAAAAAGNTCTTTAGGAAATTGTTGTTTACATGTTTGTTTACTGTTCAGGCACTGAGGAAACAACAATGAAAAAATATGACCTCATGCACCAGATCAACACTCGTGGGACATTTATGGCCAGCAAATATGCTCTGCCTCACCTCAAAAAGTCTTCCCGTGGTAAATATCTTCAAGTAACTTTTGAGTTTACATTTTCAAGTTTATCTTACCTTCAAACGCAGCACATATCCTCAATATTTCACCGCCTCTGCTGATGACACCAGTCTGGTTTGGAAACCACGTTGCATATACAATGGCAAAGTACGGAATGTCCATGTGCGTGCTGGGAATGGCTGAAGAGTTTAAAGAGCACAAAATTGCAGTGAACGCCCTATGGCCTCGAACTGCCATTTGGACAGCAGCAACAGCTATGCTGTTGTCATCAGGTGGTCAGGAACAGGTGCAGGAGACGGCTAAAATGTGTCGCAAAGTGGACATTATGAGCGATTCTGCGTATTCGATCCTCTCCAAAGACCCGACCACTGTCAC